TGTTTTCATTTGAGTTCTTATTTTAGATGTTTTGGTCACAATCTGAGAAATCTAAGAAATTACAGCTGGTTGGAAGCAGAGCTCTTGATATTGTGACTGGGTGGATTTAAATTCTTGAGATATGTATGTGAAGAGATTTACATATTTGTCCCACTGACATAGCAGTGGCAAACTACAGAGATGACCAAAGAGAGCAGGAAAAAAAAGGCTTACCAAAAATGATTTTCTTTCTTTTCTTTTAAATTGAATTTGTCCTAACTTCGATATTTACTGAGAGGTTGTTGCAGAGCTTTGAAAATGAGCACTCAGACATGAGCGATTGTGGACACGGAGCTTTGTTCTCAAACAGTAAGACAAATGCCTGTACCTGACCTCAGCTTTTACTGGAGCTGGCCGGTAATTCTTACAGGTTCTAAACTGTGCAGTTGTGATACATTACAAAATGAGTATACAAAACCCTCCGGACAACATGAACTCTCATTAGTCTTTTTCTATTTCAATTAAGAGAAAATGTTGACAGGGGCCAGTTTGGCTTGTTTATTAAAAAGTAGACCCAGCTGGCAGATCTTTATCATTAGATTCTTCTCTCAGCTCCATGAACTTAGGCTGGTCATTATTTCTTTTGAGTTAACACACTGTAGGATAATGAGACGACTGGTTGGTGTGATGGAGGTAAAAGACCTTCATGGGACTACAGGTATGCAGCAACAAAGTGTATCTTTGAATATTTTAGGCTTTGCTATTTACATTATTAGCAGGGGGAAGATGTTACCTTTTATAAAACAAGACCAAAGCATGCTGAACTTATTCGGGTTGTTAAGCCTGGACTACATTAGCATTTCCCCCTCACTGACTCACCAAATCCCCCATTTCTACTGCTGTCACTTCGGAAAATAATTACATTAAAACGTGCACTTTTCTGAAGCCACATCTTGCATTCAGCCAACCATGGGAGGGCTCAATTTTAGAATCTTGACAAACCCCATTTTTATTAACAATTTTCTTGGCAGAGTCACCAGCTGCCTTGGAACCCCCACACAGAAGTCCCACTGGAAAATGTTCTAATTGAGTATGTAAATCCAATGGAAGGATGCCGTCTCTGACTGTGACACACAACACCCCAAGCTTTAGTTTCCTTTGTAATAACACAGTTGTGTAAGAGTCTGTATCAAAGACTCTGTAATGACTGTTGTCCATTAATGTGATGATCATCATGTTACCTTAAATCATCTTAGCAGGATCCACCTTGTATTTTGCACATTAATTGGTCAACTGCAGTAAAGCAGTAATCTAGAGATTATATTTCTGATGAGGAGCTGATCAATCACAACATCCTAAATTCCTTTTAGCCAAAATAGTCTGTTTGAAGTTATAGAGGATTATTGATCGCAGTTAATGTCCATTTTGATGTTGAAAAAGACTCTGATTCTTTTCCTCTTCATCACGTGTGTCTGTGAGTGAGGTTTGGCATGCACAGGCAATTCTGAAGTTAGCGGACTAATCATTGTCTGCGTTCTGAGTTGGATAACTGATCTTTTCTCACTGACTGCAGGTTGTTTGAGATGTTAATGTAGTGGCCAGAAAATGGGCTTGTAAAATCGACTAAATGTCTGATCTCTTTGACTTGAGATTGAGATTGAAGTAGCTGTTGTCTTTCTTTCTTTCTTTCGCTTAATTGAATGCCCGGCCAAATGTGGGCGGCCTACGTCGCAGCATCCGAGCTGTTGGCTTTCTGATGTGACTTGGTGGATTATACTACCGATCCTGAAATAGATTTGGATCCCTGTGGTTCAAGTTGCCATAGAACGCTGATAGTGGTTCCTATGATGGCCAAAGAGGTTAGTGACTTCCTTTAATCTTCTGTTGTGGGCTCTAACCTTTGTTTATTAAGTCTACCATGACCAGGGGCTCTAATTTGGTTCAAACCAATGCATTTCCTCGATTTTTGTCTTTGTGATATCAATTTTCCTAAATCAAAATTATTTTGTGCATTCTGTGATGGTTGGCTAAAGATGGAATATTTCAGTCAACATTTTCCTTCATTTTCTGCCACGAAGCAAAACTTTATTAATTTATCTCTAAAGATGATATTTTGGAATGTCAAAGAATAAAAACCACCATGAGAGCCCAAGCCTTTTTAGCAGGTGAGCTTCAAGCCCACAATATAGCTGCTTTAAACGTCTGTGTATCAGTTTTTTTTGTCATTTTTGTAGGTATTTAGATCCTATGGACATACAACCTGTCTGGTGGGACCACAAATGGATGTCAACACTTGTTTTTTATTCCCACACCTTGAAGAGTGTTTAGCTTGCAGCCTATAGCACTTATATAGTCCTGTGCTGTTTTTCTTTTGTAAGAGCGTGTACTTACAATCAAGGTTTTGCTTTCATCCACACACCTGCAGAAAACCAATGACCATAATGTATGTATTCTATTTTCAAGGTGCACGCTGGGGAAAATCTGGCAACGGATGGAACTTTTGCATGATATTCCAACAACCGTCAGCACAGGTCATCATTTCCTGTCTTGAAATCTTCTTTTTGTGTTTTTGTTGATGCACATGTTAAAGTAACTTTTGGTTAACAATCTTTTATGAACATATTAATCCAAATTTACATTTCAAGGTTTCCCCCAAGGGAATCTGTAACTTTAAAATTGCTGGAGATCTGACTGCAAACTTCCTTATTCAGTGAGCTAATTATGCTAATTCAGCCTGGCCCACATCTTGCCCTGCCAGCAGCCCCCCCCCTCCCCCATGCCTCTTACTATGCTAAGCAATAAAAAATTCTAATATTGGCGTAATTCAGCTATAGTTTAAACTACTTTGCAGTCCTCCAGAAGCTGGGGGGATTCGACACAGTTGTCTGGGGAAGTGAAAGTACCAGCACGGTAATTATTAATATTCTACTGCATTGTGGGAGCTGCTAACTCCAGTATCAGTCATTCCATGATCAAACCCCTGAGCTGACCAGTAGCTTGTTCACCGCAGGAGGGTGTTTCCTCATCTAGTTGTGGTGAATTTTTCATGACCATCTTTACCTTCTGGCTTACTATCTTCTCCTTTAATTGGTAACTCGCAGGTTATATAATTAAGCTCCACAGCTCCATCACAAAGGTTGTCAGGATTGGTTCCTCCTATGTTTGACATAGACCATTTGTGCCATTGAATTCATTTCAATCCTCTGCCATTGTACAGTAGTTATGATTTTTATATTCTTATGATGGGTCTTGTAACACATTAGATTCACATATTATGGACATGGTCCCAAGGTTTGATACTTTTTTTTAACATTCATTTATCTAATTATTGTCTGACGAATTATGGTGTGTAAAATTCTGACGTGTCGTGTTCTGCTTTTTTCTGAAGGCAAACATAGGCAGGTAAAGATTTTGTAGGCTATATTTCAAGTCATCTGTAGTCTGCAATATAGATTACATGTTGTAGAGATATCACATTCGGGATTAGAAAATATTGCAGAAATAGACAAATGTTGGAATAATTAGTAATGAATTAGTTGTTACTGTATCAGGTTGATTGCACAATTTAAACAGGACTTTCCATAAAAAGTGATCCATTTGCAGCAGAAAATATGAATAAATGTGAGGAACTATAATGTATTGCAGCTAGCTCTGCAGGAAATAATCAGTCCTGTTATGTGCCCTGGATTGGAGATGTAAAGAGGGCTTATACTGCAGGTAACTTTTCATTCTCCGTGCAAAGCCTTGTGCGTTGTTAAATCATTAGTGGATTAGTGGATAGACTGTCAACCGTTCAACAAAATACTGTTGAGCAAATAAGATGATGGCTTGGGTGAAGAATGAGGGGAGTGTTCGTGATACATTGGCACACACATACACTCTTTGCAGGGTGTTCATTAAGAGCGCCATAGGGACTTGGTATGTGACCTTGCCTGGTGCTGCAGAGCTGTGCTGCAAAAGAAAGATGGAATAGTCATTGTTAAAGGAATGTTCCACACAGGCTGAGGTGGGTGACTGTGTTATTAAAGTGTCCCTGTCACACAAGACTATATTAGGAAAGAAGCATGACTTCCTGGTGTTTTTCTCCTCACTGTGGCAATCAGCAGCAGCAGTTTCATAGTTAAATTACTCAACTACAAAAGGTGAAATGATACCAGAGATAGTTTTTGTTTAGTTTATGCATTTTCTTACCCACAATCTAACATTTAAGCTATAAAATAAACCAAGAATCGTATGCACCATCTGAAGTGGTCCCACTTGAACAACAGTTTAACTCTAATTTTGTGTTGAATTCAGTCACACACACAACCACAGCATTAAGTAGAACAACCAGTGCTGTTGTGGTCTGACTTCTGGCAAATGTATATGGATACTTGTGTACTGTTTTGACAGTTTCTAATGAAAGCTGCTCTCCAAGCACCAAGAGCTGCTCCCAGTGCCTCTGAGGTCATGGATTATTCATTGGATATGAAGAGAAGTGACATAGTCTCATTGTGTGGCTCATATGCCAAGAAACCTGACAGGGCCAGCTGCATTGGGTCAAGAGAAAAATATTCTTGCATGTCCGGAGTTCATAGCATTGAATGATGACTGATGAGAGCAAGTGACTGATCGTGGAGGAGAACCACCTTCTTCTGATGCTATTGAATTCAAACACTTTTTGTTTTACTGTGCTGTGACGAACCTTAACAAAACTAAGATGCTTCCACTTTTTTGTCGCCTGCAAAATTTCCTTTGATATAGACTTTAAAATATTGCCTTCTTTTTTTTAATCAATTTGTTACAATATATCATTAATATCTCTTTTGATATTTTTTTTCAAAGGCAATATTATGATTAGGCAGTGATAGATCTACGAAAAACTAATAACTATAAAAACTATTTATTATTACTAAAATCCAATATGTTTCATTGAGGAATTTCCACCACACTCAAACCTTTTGGTCTTGAGAAGTGATGGCACATGAATCTCCAGGAAAACGGAAAGCTTGGGCCAACTTTAATATCTTGTCCATGGCCACCTAAGGCGAGACGTGATTGTTCCCACATGATGAACATGACCAGTTGTGTGAAGCACGTCCCTCTGTCCAGGGCGCAGAGGTTTGACCTGACCTTTGCTTATGTCCTACAAGAACACACCTCATAATCAGGCCCCGGCGCCCTTTTCAGCACCTCCGACAGGGCACTGGAAGATGAACAAGAGACTGAAAGCTGCACACTATCCAACCACTCGCTGTCAGTCTTTTACCGTATAAACCTTCCGCATGTCCTTTCAGCCCGTTGCTTTATTGAACTATATAGTGAACGACGCTGAGGTCCTCAAAGATATTTTATATGACTTTATTATTTTGGTGACCTACAGATGTTATTATACCTTTTTTCATTTTCTCTAACTTAGTTTCTCTTGACACATCTTGTACTTTCTTATGACTGCCCGCTTTGACCCCCTTTCCAATATTTTTACTCTATTGCCTGTTGGCCCACTCTCAGAGCGGCTCAGATGCCACGAATCAAGTCTTTTATTTTAACGCAATTTTCATTAATAGTTTTGCATGTCCTCTGAAACTTTATAGTTCACTGCCTGTCATTTAGAGACTACCGATTTGGACAGTGAAATGGAAATATTCTTTAAAGAATTCCTTTATCATTGTCTGCCAATTTCTTTAGACTCACTCTCCATAAAAGGCAAACATACAACAATATACCCAACTATTGTGATGTGTAAGTTAATATTAGTAGTAACTAAACAGGCATTGTCTTGAGTGGTATTTTGCCTGAATGATCAGAACTGGACCAATGCAACAGAATCTCAACATCTGTTTTATTGTAGTTGCTTAGCCTGTTTATACAGAGTAATGTTAACTTAATCAAAGTCTCATTATAGATATTTTACCCTCAAAGGAAAATATATAAATGTTATATCAATAATCCAAACATCTCATTTCATTTTCAGTTTTCCTTTGAGTGTGTTACTCTGACAAATCAGGTGGTGATATCTGTGTTACCAATTACTCACTCGTGTGTCTACGTGTCCATGTGTACCTGGAGCATGTCCGGGCAGATGTTAGGGCTCGGGGTCTTTGCGACACCCATTTTGTGACTGACCTGATTATGGAAAACAGGCTCTGACACTGCTCTCAGAGGATGCAGGGTTGGTGGCATCTTCATGCAAAATATGCCTGTTGTGCCAGCTTCTGTCGCCGATGCCTTTGGATAAAAATCAGCCTTGGCAGACTGCTGAGAGAGAGAGAGAGAGAGCGTGAGAGCACCGGAATAGTGCGGGAACAAGGAGGGGCATTTCAAAGGAGAGCAATGGAGGGAGATTAATGAGGAATAGGTGACAGAATTATGCAGAATTTCTATGATGGCAGGTTTATGTGAAAATTATGCATGCCATTATGCAACCGACTGGGAAATAAGTCAAGGTGTGACTGTTGCTTGAACATAATGTAGCATTTTTGTGGCATGGAAGCGAGTAATTATTCTAAAGTCGACATAGGCCCAGTTTTGGATGCATTTCTATAAACAGTTTAATTGGGTTGAATTTTTGTTTTATCATCTAAAACATGATCATTGTCTTACTGACAGGTGGGGAAGAACCATGGGATAATTCTGTCTTCATTGATACAGTATTTACAACACTAGTTTGAGACTGAAATATCTGAGATGTGTGCAGGGGGCATTTGAAAGGCCCTCGGACCCGTGTGAAGCGGCAGACTCGATAAGGAGAGTCCGCTGGTGCTGACTCACTACTTAAACAGGGATCCTGACATCACACAGTGCAGTCAATACCAGAGTCTCAGTGCTTTCACTCTCATGCAACAGCATGCAATCAAAGATTCCTGAGAGAAAATGAGAAGGCACATGATCTAAACCAGTAAAAAAAAAAAAAAAAGTAAGGCAATCCAAAGCAGTAAAATAGGCTGTGAACCAGATAAAAAGTAATCGGGCTCAAAGAAATGCAGGTGTCTCGTGGGTCTTGAGAGAGGTAGTCCTCCATTTGTGCAAAGATAGGTTTGGGGTCCTGGGCTCATCTAGTCTTATTGCTTGGTGGACTTGAAATGGTTAAACTGTTAATAAGGCCACCAAAGCTTTTATAATCCATATGTCCTTTAAAATATTCCCAGCATGCTTTGACCTCTGCCAAAGCAGAAAAGCTAAATGTATCCACATGTCTAAAAAGCATCTTTAAAATCAGCTGTCTACTATGGTATTACTTTTATTTTATATATCTACTACATTTTTTATCTCACCATCACCATGCGTTGTTCAGTCATAATCCTTAACATTAACTTTATAAAGCCTTCCATATTAGCAAGCAAATTCAGTGTCCTAACCATGTGCATTGTCGTGTGGCCAGAGTATGACGGTGAGGGATGACGCCATGCAGATTGACGTGGGAGTTTCATATGTCATCATCTCTTAAAGGACCCAGTTAAATGCATGTGGAAAGCACAAAGGTTGGAAATGCTTCAACCTTGACTGTGAATGAGAAAGTTTTTCTGCACTTTGTAAATGCCCTTAAGATTGAGAAGAAGATTAAGAAGCCACCATTAGTGGTGATAAAAAGCAAACACTCAGACACAAATTGTTCAAAAATGTTTAATGAGCTCTTGAAAAAATGAAGAAGTCAAGAGATTTGAATGGGTTTGATAGGTCTCTATGGTTTCTGACCTTTTTAGCAGTGACAACAGCTCTGAAATCAAATACTTTTTTCTTTCTTTTTTTTTCAAAGAAACGAAAGCCGATTGATATGTGCCTTTAGTTGTAAGAGATTGAAAAATGGCCAGATCTGAAAACATCATTCACTGTTCCACTGTGAAGCAGTGCTAGTTCAAATACAGCTGAGCCATTTGTGGAACACTTTCTCCCAAAACTTTTCCTGTAAATTCACTGTCAAAGGTTTGACGATGAATATCTGAACAGGGATATATGAGAATGCCATTCAGCCAAAAATCCAAAACTAGTGGAAGAGTTATGGAAGATTTTCCAAACAAAAAGATTTTGAAACAATCTTGGTTACCACAAAAAGTGCTTCATAAGCTATTGTCATTAAGCTTTTTCTTTATTCATTATTTGATGTTTCAAAACTATAAAAGATGAAAATAAATCATTCATGTTTTTATAAAAGTCAGAGAAATCCTGTGTTTGGAAGCTGCATCTTTCTTTACTTGGATCTTCGCCGTCAAACCAAACATCACTGCAGCTTTTCAAAGTTTAATCGTTTTGTGTTGATAAGCGAAAAGGTACAAACTCCTTCCTTATTGCTCGGTTGTTGTAAAAAATTCTTGATATTGTCTGAGATTCCTACAGATGAAAGTAATATTGAATTTTTTCAACAGAAGCACAGCAAGTGCTACCCAGTATGTCTCCCAAGTGAATGCTGTAGAATTTATAATGTGCACTTGAGCAGCTATGGCTTTTAGACTTAAAACAATCCAAAATAAACTCTCCCCTTGAGAAGTAATTATGTACCTACTCATCTGGCAAACACATCAAGTGTAGTATTAACGCATTTCCATTTCTCCAGAGGAAGGGCACTTTAGCATTTGTTTTAACTGAGGCTCACTGGGTGATACATGTCAGGGAATATCCCATGATGGCAGGAAATCTATTATACATTCTCGGGCATAACCCTGACAGCTGCTGAAGTAGCTCAGAGTTTGACTATATTCATAATATCCATTCTCTTCTTTTTCTTCTAAAAATTCCTCTTGATTGTCCATGTCTTCCAGTCTGTTTTTAGAAGTTTTTATATTCAATGAAGTTAGGGATTTTAGTGGATGATTGAGATGATCGTCATTAGCAACCATGAGGTTTTATTTATTTATTTTTTATTCAGAATCTAGTAACAGGGTTTTTATGGTCAGACGAGATGTGAAATAAAGTTTAAACACTATCAAAATCCCAAAAACATAAAAACCGCTCTCAGCATGGATCCGGGCAGAAAAAAATACACCGATGTTAGAAGTTAGAAATATATTTTTTAAAAAGCTAACCAGAGATTAGTTTATCTGTTTGCTTTCAAGGACATAGAAACCTTACAGGGTACTTTTCAAATAAATGTATGTTTAAGAAGAGACATTTTTCATCCAATTAATAGACACTTCAAAGAGTGAATGGAGAGGAGTGGGTTATAGCAACATATTCCACAACCCCTGAAGTGTAGCCCTATATTCAGATGAGATGCGCTCTATGAATCCATGAAGGCAAAATGGTTAGTAACCGAGTATTGCAAAGGATATTTAAACATCACCTGTTTATTTCCGGTGAATCTGAATTGAAGGAAGCTACTCAAAATATTGAAGATTTCAATAACTGTCAGTTTACTGAAGACGATCATTGATCACAGCAAAGGATAATGTCAGAGCTCACAGATGCAACATGAGATAGAAGATTATGTGCAATAGAGGCCCGCCCTTCAACATTCAGATAAATCCCCGGAGGATGGGGCTTGTTCAGTTCATCTTCTACTCAGTTCAGTTCAGAGCTGAAGGGGTTCAGATTAAGATGGATTAGATCTAGCAAAATACAGTGTTTTAAAGTTGTCATTTTCATAATGCTATAACCACAGACTTCTTCATTCAAATGACTCAGATCTTTCTGTTTGAATTCCTTCTGTGTCACTGAAAGGATGAAAACATATGGTGGTTCAAAAAGAGTCTCATAAGCTGAATATATTTGTGCTATGCAGACGAGGAAAGGAATGAGAAGCGCCAGATATATGGACAAAAAAATGTGGCTCATATCTGACCTCTCTTCAAAACTGATTTCAAGCAGAATGCAAGCGGCACACACCAATTAGGGCTCCGCAGAGCCGTGGAGAGGTCTGGAGGCCAGCCTGTGTCTGGCTGAGCCGAGTGTGTACCTGACAAAATGTAGGGCATTTAGTTTGTGAAAAGACACGGATTGCACAAGTACCGTCTGTGGTTTCGACCAGGCCAGGTGGAGCTGAACACAGAGCAGAAGTCAACACAAATGTCCACTCAGGATGATCTCATTCTCTGCGTACGTGTCCGTGTTTTCACATCTCTGTATGTGTGAATGCGTGTTTTCTGATGCTGAAACCCAAACCCAGATGCAGCTGTCCGTGCTGGCTGTGTGAAAAGGGTTGAAGTTAGTCGGGTGTCCGGGGAAAAAGACTGTTATCGATGTGAGGATGTCCCCCACAAACCAATCTGTGGGAAATCTGACCAGAATGTGGTGAGACTTAACAATCTCACCCATCTATTGAAAACACCCTCACAATCCTGTGTCCTTGAGCATTGTTGCTCATAATTCATTTACAGAGATACTTTTCTGTCACCATCTTTTTTTTTTTAACCAGGAAAAAAATAGAAATAGTTGCAATGTGTGTTGGTAATATTGTGTGTAGTCACTGATAAATCTACAGTTTAACACCATGTACAAAAGTAATGGTTTAGATAGTTCTAGAACTGCATTGCCTGCAGAGTGATCCTTCAGTAAAAATAAGGGATGATTTTGAAACGTAGAGGAAGTAAACTGCTGATGTGTTTTTGTAATGATTCTTCTCATGGTGTGTTTTATTCAACAGTACGGATACTTAAGAAATTACACTTCCAAGTGGTTTGAAATTACGTTGCAAGATGAAGGATCCCAGCAGCTCAATGGTCTGTAGTCTTCTTTATTGGATTTAATGATTTGTGATGTGCCAAACGTTTCCAGGCGGGGCTGAAAGGTTATGACTGTGGTCACCAGTCCGGCATCTAGACCTTTTTATGAGGCTTGGCTGTTGTACTATGCAAAGTAATACTATCAGATGATGATTTTTGGCAGTTGATAAGCCACTGTCCATCTTCACTTTAGAGAGATTTTACTTTTATAAGGTGGTCTTTTTCTCTAAATAGTAAAATATGTACATTTTAGCACCTAGCATATTTTGTAAGTACTCTTGAATACATTTAGAAAGTATTTAAAATCTACTCGGAGGTAAAAAAACATAATTCAGCTTCATCTTTGCAATACAAGGATCATGCCTCTCCTATAATCCTCTTCATTTGCATGCTCAATATATTTAGAATGTTGCAGCATGAGAGCTGTTCCTCGTGTGAGCAGTAGAAAAAGTTGTTTTCTGATCATCTTTATTCAGGAATCCTATCTTCTAATTAGCATGGGAATATCTGGTGATCCACCTGAAGGGGCAGGGTAATGTTATGTGGAGGGGCTCTCCTCCTTGTTTATGTTTCCTTGAAGTGCAGTAAAGGAATTGATGAATGGATATGAGAATTATAACTAAATCAAAACCACAATAACTGTTTCCTTAAGGCTTTTTGTCATTCAATACCAACTGTAGCCTGTTTAAATGCTTTTAGAGAAGTAGGTGGCAAAATATGTCAGCTGAAAAAGCTCTGTAATAGATACACATCATTCTTTTTTTTAATAGTACCAATCGAATTTCAAGTTCGAGGACTGCTGAAGAAGCAAAAGTTTGTGCTTTTTATTGCTGTGAGTTTATGAGCCTCAACAACAACTACGTGTGCAAAAATAAACATATTTACACTTGAATATGATTCAAGTATCACAATTTATTACAAAAACTAGAACTTTTTTTTTAACGTCTCTCGGTGCTGCCATGCTGTAAGCTTATAACAATACAGTATAAAACCTCAACCTAAAAGAAGGATACCCAAAGCAAAGATCAAAGATGCTGACGCAGCTTTACAGAGGTTAAGACATGCTGTTACTGTACAGAGAACAATCCTGCTAAAGTTTGAGCAACTGTAAAACACGCCGTTGTCATCAGTGCATTGCATTTCACACTAAACGACCGTTTCTAGTTTTGCCTAAAGTGTCACGACAAACACTTCTTTTTTTTAAATCAATTTACAAGAAAAAACAAACAAAAATGCACAAACACTCTGCTAAGGATGATGAATGTGCTGAGACACAGCCCAAGGCACTCAGGCTCAAACATTGGCAATGAATACATGTCATTCTTCGCACAAAATCACGCCAAGCAGGTGGTGGTAGAGAAAGAAGAGTGACAGAGAAACAATGTTGTCTTTTTCATAACCTCTTTAAGAACACCTTCCCCCTTTAGAGAAGTCCACCCTGCCCCTTTTCACAGTGAAAATCCCTGGCAGTTGAGACAGAAAGGACGATCTGAAGAAGTCATTTTTCTTGAATTGTGTGACATCTGTTTTCTAAAAACTAACATGACCTCCTACTGTACGTTTGATGCTGGCCTGTCACTCTGCTCCCAAAGAGCGACCTGTGCTCTCACAGGTGGCATCGCCATCTTTTTTCAAAGGAAACCACAAATAGACCTGATGTGCTTTCAAGCGCCACAGGATGTCAGGGCGTCTCTCTTCAGCGGCCTCCCCCGCAAGGAGGACCTGTTTGGAAATCTGTCCAAATCGTCCACAAATGATGTTTTCAAATATCTAAGACAAAATTCTAGGTGCTACTCGGGTGCAATGACCTCCTCGTGAGCTTTCGGATTAGTTTAACAATGCCGTGACAACAGTGGCTTTTGCAAACGCACAGGCTTCCCCTCACAGCTCAGTTCAGCTGCCGGCAGGCTTCAAAAGTCCACTTTGAGGCTCCTCCGTAAATATCAAGGCTGGTCTCCATCCACGCAAAAACGTTGCCCACTTGAGCTTTGCTGCTGCAGGTTGCTAGATTATAAATCTCTCCCACTGACAGTTTCCGATCCCAGATGTGGAAGTTTGCCAAGTCTCCAACGAAAGCTTGTGTGGCGTCAAATCCTCCTCCAAATGTATCCTGTGGTGAAGAAAACGTATTCATATAAGGATGGTAAAACTGCTGGGTAAGAAATAAAAATGTGTATCATTTATGCTTATAAATTTTCAATGATCTCTCACTTAAAGATTTAATCCCTATATCAAACCTGTGAAACCAGCCAAGAATTGATTAGTACATTGATTTTTTCCCTTCTTTTTCATGTCACTATTAACTATGATATCCAGATAGGGTGAGAAAATGCTTAAGAATCATTTCACTCTGCAGTAAAAAATTACACTGGTGCTTCAGATAGATGATATCACACTGGCTATGACTGTTTACCTGCTCCTGGCCAAGAATCAGCAGGCCCTGTGGCTTGATAGGATGATAGGGAGCTAAATTTTCCCCACTCCCCCTTTTGACACCATCTTGGAAAGCTTCCCAAACACCATCACGAGTTGTCCAGGTCACGCAGATATGGTGCCACTTGCCATCGTTTATAAGAAACGGCAGCTTTGCAACCTTAAACGAATTCAAACACAGGTATTAGTAGAGTGGTAGTGAGAAAAGAAAGCTAGAATGTACTGTTGTAAGTTACAGTGTATTTTAAGTGATACCTTGTCGTTTATTAGTATCTCCATTGGGTTGTTCCCCCACTCAATGAGCACCAGCTCGTTGGCCTGGCCGGGAACAGCGTAGGAGAAAGGGGTTCCCACCCCAGGGGACGCGTTGGACTTCAGCCACATGCACACGGTAAGGGCGAACATCTCTGGCAAACTCTTCTTGGCTTTTGCGTACATGTAGTTGGTTCTCAGCGAGAACGTGAGTTGGAATTTATCCAGCGGTCTGCTTTCTCTTTGACCTGTGAGAAAATAAAATGCTTGGTGTCGCACAGTGGAGAATGTGATAGTCGCAAGCTTTCCTTCTCGTTTTATTTTTTATCCTTAAACCCAGATTCAACACTCACGCCACACGCACCCTGAGGATTTACACTGACGTGACACGTTGCACAACAAATCCACGACGGTGGTGCTCCAGATTTGCTTTAATCTCGCACGATAAATCCATCACTGGAGCAGTGACGACACAAACATTCATTTCGTGTCTTTTTTTTTCTTCACTTCTACGTTTTACTCTCATAAGATTATTTGGGAATTGCTCAGACACGGAAGGAGCCCCAAACAGGCACCGCATGGTGGCATAGGTGTCAATTAGGGCAAATGGAGACGGCTGGGGTTTGAGCAGAATTAGTGCGCAAAAGCGCAGAAACGCGCCGGAGTGTTAATGCTGAGAGCAGCATTAAATCACACGCTGAAGTCTGAGAAGATTACGAAGCTTAACGGGATTTGAAAAGATTTTGTCCTTGATTTTCAGTTCCCAAATCATAATTGCACACTGCAGCAGTCTTCTTTCCCCCCCATGATCATTATCCATGCGTATCAGTCGTGAGCCCTCCCAAAAATCACTCGCCCCAACTTTTTGGGGTGTTTTTATTTGATTTGATTCTGCTTACCTTTCTCCAAGTCGGAGATCCTTTGGTGTAGAGACGTGAGGGTGGACTCAACTCTCCCACGCTGCTCCGTCTCATTCCGGAGTCCGGGCTTCCCTTCCTCGATGCTGTTCACTCGGGACAATACCTGCTTCTCCAAGTCGTCGATTTTGCTCTGGAGCAGATCTTTTAAGCTTTTTGCCTGCACCGAGTTATTACTTCTGCTGAATTGCTGCTTAGGGCGGGGAAAAACAAACAAACAAACAAACCCATTTAACTCCATTACCATTTGGGGACAATTCTACATTAGCGACTGTTCAAAAGTGTTCCTGGTGTTAGCAACTTTATTTAATGTTAGCCCCACTTTCTTTATCTCCATATTTATAGTCAGGAAATATTGGTTACTGCTGCCAACAGTGGTATTATCACTATAGATCAGTTACCAAAATACTGTAATTTGGTCGACAGACGCTTTTGCGCAGCGTCAGAGGGTTGGAAACGTCCCCAGAAACATCAGCCTACCTCCAGATTTTCTAATCTCTGCTTCAGTGACTGCAAAGTCTGTGATAGCTGCGTCAAAGTGTCAGCTGGCCCCCTCGACACATCCCCCATCGTGTTTTTGGTCCCTGTCTCTTTCCTTCTCCCCCCCGGGCGCGCGTCCCCGGGCTCGGTGCCACTCTGGCTCTCACACCGAGTCAACTTTGAGGTCAGTTCTCGGATGGTCTCTTTCTGGTTCATGATCGTCTCTTTCTGCTGCAGAACCGTCTCCCGCAGCTGCATAACTGTGGTCTTCAAGTCCTCCCCTGGCACGCTGTTCTGCAAGGTGGCTGCGCATATGTCCATATCCTTGGGCACGGACGTGCAAATGAACTGGGTTTGTCCCGCGAAGTCTTGGGATAAACTCTCCAAAAACACCCCAAAAAATAGAAAAAGTCTCCAACAGATTCCGTTCCTTGTCGCCTGCATACTGGCGTCCGTGCTCGGGTTTAGTTTCGGTCGCTGAGCCGCGCACTGACTTCGCGCTCCTGTTGTTGTATTCGGTCTGTGGGAGCGCAGCGCGCTTTTATACCGCGGGCCAGACTCTGCGCAGAGCAGGTTCACTGCATCACGACCACAGGGGTGGGAATCAAGCTCTGCCCCCCTTTTAAAAAAACGTCTCCAGAAGTCGCGTCACATTGAAGGGGATGAAACCCATTTTGCTTTCAGGCTCCCGCATGTTAAATCTTTCATCACTTCGACTATTTGTCATTTCTCGTCGTTTATTATTTATCTGAAGGGGAAAAAAGCGCGGATTTCTCGCCACAGAAGGGGCATGCTTGTGTGGCAGCGAGCCAGGAGAGCCAGCTGTGTTTGTTTTTTGTTCCGAGTGCTGGGAACTCAAACATATTGTAGGTGGATGCAGATGAGAAGTTGCAGCAATTTGTGTCTGAGTCCCCGCAGATTCAGCACCAAGGACAGCTCCAGTCCCACCATCACGGAGAGGCTCCACCGCTGGTGCTGGTGCCTCCAACTCTTTTGACGATGTCTAGTTGTTTACTTTTAAACTGTGTGTTGAGTATAAACTGTCCATTCAATGTGAGAAAGACACGTTCAGCTCAAAATGACAGGCTTAGTCACAGACTCACACTTTTTTAAATAGATCATCTCTTGCTGTATCATGGTGTTCTAACAATCTCGTATTTGCCTCAATCTCTAAAAATGTCCTGAAGCAAGATGACCCCTGTGTCATTCCAGGGAGGAGGAGGTCCTTCATTTCTCATGGTCCGCGGCAGAGCCTTAATTTCTTTTTTTTTAATATGATGTTGGAAATTAATAAAATGGAAACATTTCCCATTGGAAAGCTGTCAGATTAGAAGTGGTCGAGGGGAAGCGCGTGCACGAGGAAAAGCCTGCATGTGATGGTGGGATAGTGACCGTGGGAGGTTAAAAGGTTCATGGCATAATTACTATCATCTGTGGCAGCTCAGTCAGTCTGAATGCTTTATGGCAGCACGTGTCTGCTGGACGCAGGATAACTGCATCAAAACAGAGTCCCATTTGGACGCTGCAAAGCCACCAGAGTATACATTTGTTACCCCCACAACAGTATTTCTTATTGTGCAAGTGTTGTAATTATTTTCAGCATGCATCGATCCCTGTTAACTTTGTCTGGACTTCTACAGCACTGATGTTGCTGTAGTCCATTCTTTGCTATATGAGCATCATGACCATTTGCAAGTGGAATCATTCATAAATCAATAATCAAAGCACTTTTAACCAAAATCTGTTTGGATTCAAATTCGAAATACTTTCAAGAAATTCTAAATCTGTGTGTATGATAACGATTTAATCTTAAACTTTGCTTTTTTTTTTTACATAACTGCTCTTTCAGGATAGCAGAACACTGTTATGCGGAAAACATGTACAGTGTTGTAATATGTGACATAACTTAGCGCTTCCTGCATTTATGAATTGCATACTTATTTTCTCTTGAACATTTTCTGTGGATTACGCTCCATTTAAGTGATGCAACATCTAAGAGGAATGAAATGGAGGAGAGCTTTAGTGATTTTTACTTTATGATTTTAATCCAAAGTTGAGGGGCAGAATTTGATTATTTTGAAAATGGAAATGAAATACTCAGAGGTCAGAGACAGCAGCTTTTTTTTCTGGCTTTGGAGTTTTGGGAGAAGAGTTGGACAAAGTAGATGAAGAAAGTAAATGAAAGATAAAGTTCAAGAGTCAGAAAGAGCAATGCCATGAGAAATCAGTAAAGCTCTTTGTGTATTTTTAGGTCCAGGAGTAATATGAGAACAAACAGAGAACACGGAGATCAGTTACTGCAGCAACAAATCCCTTCTAATGCTTTTCAGCTGTATAAAATGCTAAGACAAAAGCCCAAAACATGATATGGTATGCAATGCGACACCTTTGTTCTTCTCCTGCTAGAGCACCTAACCCACAGAGATCCACAGAAGCAAGTTTTTGTCATTACAGCGCCGTGCCAGGTAAATCTTAGCTTACGGCTGAAATAGGTAAAAGACTAAAGGAATTATTTACCCATAAAGTGAGGATTTGCCTACTTTGAGGAGTGTTCCACAAATGTAAAGGTTTATCTGTTCTTCAAATCTTGCTAAGGAGTAGACCAGACAAACATTGAACAGAACTTCTATGCTGATTTATTTATTCATTTAAAAAAACACTTTCTCTAAATAATTATATATCTGGGTGAAAAACCAATCATCTACCCTGGAACAAACGAACGCTGCAACACATCCAAAGTCTGTAGCTCCCATCATTATTCAGGCCTTCCCACACAAATAACTCTTGGAGCTATATGCTTTAACTGTCTGTTCTCCTCAGACACATGCTGCACCTCTGCACCATCACCTAGTTCTTACTGCCTTTCTTTCTTTTCTTATATAGACACCCTGTTATTCCCAACCCTTTCAAGTCTCTCAAATTAACATCTTCCACTGGGTATGACAAGTTCAGCCCGAAAGCATATTGTGTTATGGTGGGATTTTAAAGAAATGTTGTGACAGCCGTTGAGTTTCTAATGCTGTTAGCCATGGAGGGCATGAAATAATAATGGGGTTTGGATGAAATGATTTTTTTTGTTCTGCAAGCCATTTTGTTAGATGTAACAATAGATTGATCTATAATGTTGAAGATGGTAATCTGATATTGGAAAAAAAAACACTTGCCCGAAGCTTTTGTCGCAGTCAGGCTCTGGCTTCTAGTTAAACCTCGCCACTACCCACCTGTTGTGGGGAATAACGTCCCTTAGTGACCTCCAAGCACAGAGGAAACGCATTCTCCATCACAATAGATCAATAGTTGTAATTTCACATTTTGGCATTCCCCTCTGACTTGTTTCCCAATGTGTTTCACCATATTGAGCCAGCGGGACTAATAAAGTATCTTTCTACCTAAGTGAAAACATATTAATCTCTTTTTATTTTTCATTTAACTTTGTACAGATTTGCATAACATAGGTGTGACACTAGATCAAATTCGGAAGGATGGAAAGAGGTAATATAATCACAAGGAGTTGCTGACAATGTGTTTAACACATCAATTAGTGACAAGTTAAAAAAACTAGTGTGCAATCTGAGTGTATAGTAGTGTTTTTTTCCCTTTCCAACACTGAGCATACAGTAAAACCAGTATTGTTTTTTGAAAAGTTTTTAAACCTATTTCTATATGTCTACATAAATATAATCTAAATCAGCAAGAGATCTCATACATGTCAGTCTCTAAAAAAGATTGTGATTAAAGGTCACATCTCTCGGTGGATAAACGTTGTATTCAGTATCTTTCTTGCCACCAGACATATTCCAGAGAACATCTGTTGATCAGTGTTGCGCCTTGAAGGAATGTCAGTCCATGTTTCACACAACACGGCCTAAACTTGGTGTCGAGGTTTCCTCACATGAACTGTTCATTTCAGGTCATTCCACAACATTCCTTGCTAATAAGGGCTGGACTTTGACTTGGATGTTGCACAACATTCATTTTCTTTTTCTTTAATCTGCCTCAAGTCTTGTTTTGGATCCAATCACGAAAACATCTTAAGTCTACTGCTGTGAGCAGCATCTTCTTCTTTCTTTACATAAGCATTTCTGAGGAGGTCTTGAATTACACTTTTTGACCTTAGACTAGAGTCAAATGCCTGAAAAATAGTTTAATATTATGTCATAAGAGGCAGAACTATTTTATGGAGGTTCTCTAAAATGTCACCAGCTGGATGTGCTTCCTCATACATGTTGTGAAGAACTGACTTTAAAAGGTTATTTTGAATAAAGCATGATGCATCTAATCGTGACTAAAAATTAATAATAAATACCTCCATGCTCTGACAACCACTTATGTTTTTCCAAATCCTTTTTTAAAACTTCTGAAATTAACTGACGGAAAGCATGATGTGGGAACAATTTTTGTTTATCCAATTTATATTGAAAGAGTAAATGTATGCATTGATTCAGTCGGCATTCATTTATTTGTTCATGACTTGTTTATAAAGTTTGATTCCAAAGAATGATTTTGCAGAAGAAGGCATTTACTTAACATGCATAATTTACATTTCTAGCTGATGCTAAATTAATTTGAAAGACAGCTCCAGGTCCTCCAGTTGCCACAGATGAACAAGAACATTCTTTGTTACTATGATACGAGCTGCGCCTTTCTAAACTTGCACTGAATTACTATCAGAGAGACAGTTGATCCCCCACAGTGTAAAAATATTCCTGCTAGAGAAAGCTACAGATTAATAGAATTCATTTCAGTATGTACACTTGTGTGGCTTTAATGAATGTAAGGTATTTCATCATCATGTGAACAATAGCATAATTAGCCTCTTCTGTTTGTAGCAGGCCACAGGCATCCCCTCCATAGAACGAAAAGCATCTGCCTGTTTGAGGTCACTGGTATTTAGCGGCCGGGCAAGGAAAATGTCAGGGACTCGCCGGCACATTATAAAAATAAAATTGCCCAGAGAGGTTAATTAAGACAAGCCATTTTACTCATAACTTCTCATCACTCTTCTGTTGTTTTAAGTTATTTCCCATGTGGTCTGCAAATGGAGGTTTTTATACTGTATTGCTTTCCTTATATTTTATTAAAGGTTATGATTTAATTATTCTTCCTTCTGCATGAGCTGAGCGGCCATCGGAAATTTATACAATGCATCATCTGACACTGCGATCATTTTCTGTGCTGATGTGGCATTGTTCTCCCTCTGCTGAAGATGATGGAGAAATATATAACAATGTTCTTTTGGAGATATTATTTTCCCTTCACAGTGATCACAGCACGTGACGATTTTATATTAAATCTAGTACATTACCATCGGCTCTAATCTGCTATCATATGCACCCAAAATGGGATTTGTTAATTGTATTATGGTTAGATCCATAAAGGACTCATATCCCCAAAAATTCCTCTGGCTTTGTTTTGTAATGCAAATTATCATTCTATAGGTGAGATAATTATATAATTTTGTGTGTGTGTGTGTGTTTTTCATTGACCCTTGCTGTGGTTTATTCCCGCATAAATACATAACATATATGCTCCATTTTGGCCGCATTTACCACAACCAATAAGCATTCCAGTAATATGAAAGTTGGCTTCCAGTGGTGTAATTAGGAGCAGGTTGCAATCAACAAAAAGAAAATTGCAATTAAAGGACTGTTTCTCTATTTAAATGTAAAAATGGTTGTGCAGGTCATATTGGGCTTTGGGTGAG